GGCAGGTAATAATTATAATTCAACATACAAGAATGCAAAAACAAAAAAACAAAAACAAAAAAACAAAAACAGATCTGTGATCATCCTCATCTGCTTTCCCCAGCCTGGTGGAGAAACAAACTTCCAGATTTGTTAAGACTTCTCTAATAGCTGGGAATCAGGAGAACTGCAGCCCAATACATCTGACCTACGTCAATGCTACTTAGAGCAAAGAAGATGAAGCAGGCACCAAGGAATCTACAGCATATAGTTATGTCTAGTTTATACTCAGGGTTGTAAAATATTATTCATCCACACTGACCCAGTTTTATACTAATTACGATGACCATTTGACACCCCACCATACTATCCATAGTAGGTAAAATAGTACAGATACTCTTCTGATTATTCCTGGCGATTTCCATCCCCCACATTATTTTCTGAATTAGTGGAAGCATGGCTCTCACATTTGTTCCTGGAGTCAAAGTATTTTCCCTGATCTCAGCAAACCTGCAATTTTTTTTTAATCAATAGGCTCTCTCTCTAATAAATTCCTAGGAATTTAGATGACCAGGCAAGAAGTTACATGTTACTTAGAACATATATCCAAGGGGAGTGGATACAGGAGATGTTTCTTCATACAAAAATGGCCAGAAGAATGGCTGTGAACTCAGAAGAACTGGCACAGCTGGCAGAACAAGTGCAAAACATGCTTCTCTGGTTTGTGTTTCCACATGCAAGAATGGGAATAATTATGCAATCAAATGACCTCTGCCTGAGTAATGGGAGAGGGGGTGTTCCTGCCTTCAGGCTAGAATGCAGATACTACACCAGGCAAAAAAGAAAGGAGAGAGGGGGAGTTACAGAACCACAAAGTTGTTGCTACTTAAGGAAGCCACCTCACTCCTATATATCAACCCAATTTTTTCTGTAATGGGAAAAGTAATGACCAATCATCTTCACAGGAATGCTGTTGCAAAGCAATAGGGGGAAATGCCTCTACTTCTTGGTCCTTGATGTATAGCATAGCCTGATGTCCCTGTTTGTAGGATTCAGTTCCCCTAAAACAGGAATTCTACCCCTGGAAACACCAATGGTCAGAGCCAAAAATATGCATGGGAAAATAGAAATATTTGTTGATTAGAGAGGAGATGGCAATTTTAATTGGTGAGGGTAATGGAGTTTGAAAACTGAGGGTTTTTTAGAAACTCAATGAAAATAAATTAAGTAATTATTTTGATATTAAATGATCTAGACTAAATTACACTTACAATACAATCCTTACACCAGGGTTGGCTGCATAAGTGAAGTATGAACGTGCTGGAGATAAGCTTATCACTTTTCATACACATTCCTTACATTTTTCAACCTCCTAGGTTCCAGCATGGAGGAGTCTGTTGTCCAACTCTACATAGGCTTAGAGGAGCTGGGGAGTGGGAGGCCCCTCTGACAACAGAAACTGCTCTCAACTCAGTTGATCCTGTTTCTAGAACACCCCATTTGAGGCCCTACCACTGGCTGTGATCCCGTTATACTTACTAAGCTCTCCATGGGTTTGACTCAGCCTCCAGGGCAGACAGAGTCATCTGAAGGTTATGCTCCTGTCAGGGACTAGCCTTTGCCCTATCCTGCCTCTCTATGAAGCGTGTCTGAAAGGCTGGAATTACCTATCTCCACTTGAAGCAATGGGATTTAAGTCATGACCCCAATGGTGTCCAAGTCCAACAAACTTAATCTGGACTCAACCCAATGACAATTTTTATTGAGCTGCATATCTTGTACTTCATTTGAAGATTTTGGAAATATTCAGATGCATTCATTAATTCATGAAGCCACAATAAGGATTATGAATCAGTCAGTATTTTGTAATAGTTGACAGTTTCAGATAATTTCCTAAATCACAACCCTGGGATACTAGATATGCTTGCAATTCATCCGTCAGTCCGTAACGGGTTCCTCACCACTGCTTAACAGGGTTTCAGAAAAATTGGCTCACAATGCCATGAAGGAGATTTGCTCATCAGTGCAATCCAGCCTTCTGAATTAATTTAAAGCTGCATTCCCACATAACTGCAGGGCACTATAGAGGCCTAACATCAGAGCAAAATATGTTCAGGGTTAAAGGACAGGTAGACTGAGAGAAATGTTTTTGGGCAGGGGGAGGAGAGGTAGGAATTAAAAAAAAAAAAAGGAAGTGGCCTGAATAATACAAAAAGCTGATTAGAGTGCTCCAAGTCATATCCTGTGAAGACATGTGAGGGATCTTTTTGTTTTTTTATCTGCTACTTCTTCCTTCCTTCCAGCATGTTCCTGGCTTCTTTAACATCAAAATGTTGAAAGTATACAGAATGTGCTTAGCTTTGCCAAGATAGAGAGCCAGGCAGGCAGATATTCCCCATTCTGCCACCTTCACCTTTACCCTGTAGGAATTCTTATGAATCACAAAACAAGTCCTGGTTGACCCTATATGGAGATATCGAAGAACCAATAATCAGAAGAGCAAAATAAGCAAACAAGCTAAGAGTGATTGGGTGGTGGAAGGTGTGAGACTGAGATTGCTCACAATTTAATCACAGTATGTTGGTCACTGGGTACAGCATAGACAGGCAGCTAACTGAGCTGGCTTCTTTTTCTCAACAAACTAACCTGGCTTGTGTATTGCAATAAGTCCACTGAAACTAGCTAAGCAAATCGCTACTGACAGGGCCACAAATCAGCCTTCTCTTCTCCTTTCACTTCTTTTTTTTCCTAACCAACTTCCTCAATGAAGGGGGCTTGAAAACTTGGGAGTGATTTTGTAAACCTAATAAAAGTATTGCCAACATGGGTTTTGGATCTTTTTTTCCTTTGCTAAAGGTGCTACATATTCAAATGTTTCTCTCACCAGTTCCTCAGAATATGCAGTTTCATTGATCTTCCTTTTGCTAAACTCTCTACCTCCCTTTCCTCGTTCAAAATCCACTAGAGATGGTGATTACAGTATCCAGGTGTTGGCTTTCTTTTTTTTTTTTGCACAAGGATTGTGGGAAATTGCATGTTACCATCTGATGAACTGCAAAATAAAGGTTTCAGTAAGAGGTGATTCACTCTCACTTTCTTCATCACATACATTATTAATTTATATTTATGGATTACATGCTTTCTTTCTGTAACTTTCAAACCGGTAGGAAACTTGTAAAATCAAGGAATATGGAAACAACCATTTCCCCCACAAACGGATTCCATTAACAAATTTCCCACCTATGAACCTGTCATCTTCAGCCATCTCATACAAAAACATCCATGATTTCCTACATAAAGTGGTCTGTCTGTTATAGGGCCACAAAATATGGCCTGTAAGATAGCTCAAGGATAACTAATGACTTTTGAACTAAAGGCATACTGTTTTCTGAAAAAGCTCCAAGACTTAATCCATTCTTCTATTCATTATATTTATATTTGTTTTTGCAAAGTATCCAAACATTATATGGTGCTTTTTATTCTGCTTCTCCCCAGCAAGCTAAATAAAATTAAGCAGGTGTATTTGGCACATCAAAGCTTACAGAAATGTAACCAAAGTGAGAGGAGACAGACAAAAGTCCCTCAAATTCTAAACTTCCCAAAAAACTAAGATACAACTTACATCTAATTACTGGTCCGGACTGTTACCTAGCCCCCTCCCAAGAAATGAAGACAAACCAGGGAGGGTTTCTCACCCCTTGATCTATGTTAAATGATTCCTTGAAGGAAAATGTTATAAACGTTTATGCTTCAGGGAAAATAGGATCACCCCACTTGATGATGTTACCCAATAATCGTTTCACACACTGGTGAACATTTTAACGGTTTACAAAGACCTCTTGTTGCATGTCACTAATAATACGAAATCCAATACCAGGCCAGATTTCTCAGAAGTAAGGCGACCGTGTATAATGCAGCTTTATTTCTTGAACTGGGACCTCAGCCTTAAAATTATTTGTATATTTTGCACGCTATGTAAAGGATCCGTACTTGGCTATCTCAGCTTGCGCTTAGCTGGAAGCTGAATCTCTTAAGCCCGTATTTCCTCGACGTTAGCCCTATTTTAACAGAATGACGGTATTTCCGAGTAACACGTGCGCAGAACCCCTCTCTTCCTGGGTAGGCTAAAGCGGCCCAGCAGCGACTGGGGCAGCGGAAGAGAAACCGCGTTGTCCCAGGGCCCGGGTGACTCTTACCCTAAAAATGCGCTGCCTCCCCACTCCCTATCAGCGGTCAAGAATCAAAGTCCGACGGTCCACCAGCAGAAAGGGTTTCGCCTCGCCCGCTGCCCTTCGGCGGGAGGGGCAGTAGGTGTGCAACTTCCCCGAGCCCGAAAGGGCGGATCTCCGAGACAGCGGCCAACCATCTCCAAATATAGGCATAGCAGGGCTCCTCTGTTTTCCCTCCCCGCGCGCCGTGTCACCTGGGCGCCCGAGCAGCACTTCGTTGCAGCCCACACCCACGGGGTTTCGGTGCGCGGCTCCCTCCCGGCCCTGCTCTGCCTGAAACGGATGACGCGGAGGCCCAGATGGAGGAGGGGGAGGCGGCCTGGGCTGACGAACAGATTCCGAAAGCGGTGCGAGAGAGCGCGCGTCGCCTGGGGCGGGGGGCGCTCCTTCATTTCCACCGCAGGAAGCGAAGGGCGGTCTTTGCCCCGGCCTTAGGCCCGCCGTCCGTTTCACCGCCGAGGGTTAACGCTAGGGAAAAAATGCTCTTAACCAAGAAATCCGATATGGTTGAGGCACGTGCTAAGAACTTTCTTTTCTTACGGATCAAGGACCAAAACCGACACCAAAGGAGAAGGGGGGCTATCAAACTGACTCGAGCCTTTCAAAAACTGCCGAGATTTGGATGGAAAGGAAGGGCAAACGCGGAAAACACATGCCAAGGCGGGCGACGTTGAGTGAAATGAATCGCTGATCTGAAATTAACGGGGAATCCAGCTGGTTTCCACTCGGGTAATAGGGAGGTATCCACATTAAAGCGCCCCTGAAACGTTTCAATCTTTCAAAGAAACTCACATCCTGGTAGCGAGCAGCGCCTCGCCCTTCCGCGCGTCATGTGCTAAAGGCAGGAAAGTCGCCCCATCTTCGTCAGCATGTCTGCGCTGCGCCCAGTTTTTTTCCTCCAAACCCGGCCCTCCGCATCGAGCACTCTCCGCTGCTCACCTCCTCCCCCTCCCTCCCTCCCTCCGTTGCTGCATTTCGGTGACGTGACGGAGGCACACGCCTCTCGTGATTGAGAGACCTCGGGCTCCCAATGTCGCTTCCAAGGTTTGCCGGTCTTGGCTACGGACCCGATCCCTTTCATCCCCCACCCTGCCCCGCAGGGTGCTCTCTGTAAAATCAGCAGCGTCTTTTCAATAGGAGTCGCCGATGCCCAGCAAGCAGAAGGCAGTCCGAGCTAGCACGGACCGCTGCCGGAGCTGATGCTGTACATACATGCATCCCGGCCCCCTTCTGCCCTCATGGCTGTTGTAGTCTGGGAGTGCATGTTTATTGCTGCGGTCTTTGCCAGATATGGTTGGGAGGGCCAGGGACGGACAGAGACACACACACACACACCCCGATTCCATTTGGGTGAGGCACCTTTACACTGGCGCACCGACATGGCGAACGGGAAGAGTTTCTCTTCGCTCTCCGCAGCTCTGGGGGACTCGGCAGCGATCTGTCTCAGGAGTGCAATCTTGGCTTCTCCAGAGGAAACACACCCTGTCTTTCAGCACAAAAGAATCTGAGAGGAATGCAAATGACTGGAGGGGAAGCCTTATGCTTTCCACAAGGCTGCTGCAGGAAATAAGCGGGCCTTCCGCTCTCCAGCTTGGAGCCCCTTAACTGCAATGTGCTTTGCTTATTAATTGGAGGAGCTTTGAGGGCTTAGTTCCGGGCTCTCCCTGCACAGTCGCAGGCCTTTTTCTGGAGGCCAGGGACAGTGCAAAGGTGTGGTCCAACAAGCAAATGGATACTAGTTTTTTGCCTTCCAATAGTTGTGTGACGATTACCACCTGCCAAAATATCAGTTGCAAAGCATAACTGGAGAAAGGAAAAGCAAAAATGGAGCAGAGAGAAAAAGGTCAAATTTTGATGGAGGAGGTATGGAAAAAACACATTCTCAACCCACTTTGGAGCACAAGTACCTATACTGGATCTGTGAATAATACTGTAACTGCTTGAGTTTAAGTGGCCAAAAAATAGATGTTAAAAATAAACATGCCAACAATCAGTTGGCTGGTCACTCGAACTTAGCTCACAAAAGTATAGTGCTACTATGCACAAACAAGTCCTTTGCTCTCTTTCAAATCTTACCATTTTTGACCTCTGAGATATTCCCATAAATGTGATAGAAAATGCTAGCAAAAGCAGAAGAAACACCACTTGAGCAAGTGGAGATTTTGGAGATTCTTAGAATTCAGAGCACCTTTTCCCTCTTTCCATTAAAAATATTTAACAATCCTTAAACATTCAACACCACTTCTAATTTGAATAATCCAAATGCTAATAGAAAGGGCTGCATTAAGAGTAGGAATGATTGAATGAACCAGGGGTGAGTGGTATTATTGCTTCTATTTTAGCATTCTCTCCATGGCTACTGGAATTATTGATATTTCCTGGGTGATAGATAAACCCATATAAGGAAAGTAAACCTAAACATAAGCATGTCTACTGGGTGGAGCCAAGCTGCTTTACCACTGACTGACAATAATGGGGATTCTCCACCACTACCTTTTCATATATTTCAGTTTAATTGTTGTCTGTGATTCTATGAAATCTTAAAATCTTAATGTTTTGAAATCTTGTGAATATTTATTAGGAATTGAGCAATAGAAACTACAAAATTATTATTTCTTCCTTATGATGAATCTGATTTCTATTGATTCAATGACTGGTTCAGATTGTAGGGTGGGGGGTTGTGAATTGGCAAAGATCTTTCCAATTTAGGAAAACAAAGTAGGTTATGCTTTTATGGGAAGGAACAGCTTAGTCACCTGCTTATAGGTGAGGTCTGGTTATTTTTCTAGGTGTGTACATAGAACAGGGATGGGCAGAGACTACTGGTTTTACCTATGTTTAACAGGTTACTTTTGCAAGTAACACTGCAGCTTATGTGGGTTAAAAAAGCATATTGTCTCCAGTCTGTTACAGCTGTCTCTCAATGGCTAAGTAGTATGGATAAAAAAAAATTAGATTTTTTCTAATAGTGACTCCCTCCCACTGCACACATACATTTTCTCTCACACAGAGACAGAGATGAAACAATGAAGGTGAAGCATAATGCATTTCTAATGCTCTGATAGTATTAGGCAGAACTCAGCAGAGCAGCTATTCATATAGGGGCAAAATGTGTTGATACTCTGCAAAATCTAAAAGGGAAGTTATAGCCAAGGGAACAGCAATGTTTTTCTTTGGCAGACTCTCAGCTCACTGTTATGTCATGTAAATATATATAGGATCACAAGAACCTTTTGTTCATTATGAATGAGATTGTGTCTTCTAAGCCTACCTTGAATTTGCTTTATCTCAGTATGTTAAAATAATTGTGCTTCCTGTAAAAGTAGATCCAAAGACACTGGAACATTTCGGTTTGAATTTCAGTAGTAAATTCTATAGTCACACCTACAACCTCATTTACTTGGATCCCTTAGAAACAAAGGTGAAAACCTTTTATGCTTCATATTTTTCTAGACCTTGCAGAGTGTTACGAACCAAAGTTTGCTTACTTTTTTCTTTCAAACATATATTTATTTACTGCTTCTCATACAATCATATCTTGAAGCAGTTTATAATAAAATAAGTAAAATAAAAAACAGTATGTTAAAAATCATTTAATATGGTTTGGGGAAAAGGAAAACAAAACCGAAAGAGTCATCCAACATTCACAAAGAGAAGGCCTAGGTAAAGAGATAGGACTTCAACAGGTACCTAAAAAATGTAATGGTAGGCACCTCATACATTTGAGGAGAGAAAGCGTTCCAGAATGCAGGCAACACCATAGGGAAGACCCACCCATGAGTAACTGCATAATGGCATTCTGCCAGTTTACACACATAGCAGGACCTCCCCTACTCTTAAAACACTTAAGACCCTTAAACACCTTCTCGGCATATAGTATAAACCATGATTCTTGGGCAAAATATTCTCTATATCCAATTTACAGGACTAAACTCTTGAAACTTGGACATTTAACGATTGGTGTGCTGCACCACCTTTTTCCATGTTTTTCACCACCTGGTGGATACAAAGCTTCCTATTTCATGTTTTGCTTTGTAATCACATTGTGTGTTTTGTTGTGAATCATTTCTTTTGACTGGAGAAAATAAGGATTTCTCTGGCATCTTTGTGTTTCTTGCATATTAACTCTCCTGTATGTCCTAGAGGTTCATTAAAACATTCTGAATAGTGCATCAGAACTGTTTCTGTTTGAATAGAGAAAACATTATAGTGCTGTGACTATAGAGACAAGAATCTTGCTGCCCTCATTCATGTAAGTCATCTACTAAGGCAGTCTTCCCCAACTTGATGATGGAGATTTATTGAACTACAGCTCCTATCATCTCCAGATAGCATGGTGTTTTGACTACATTGGTGAGGGATCATGGGAGTTCTAATCCAGTACAAATGAAGGGCCGCAGATTGGGTAAAACTGGAAAATGGGACAGTCAAATTTTGCAAAGCGTGGGCCAAGGAGGCCATTTCAAACAAATGAAGCAGCAGTTCTTTTAATACAGGATTATTTGGCCAGGATAAAGGTGGCATTGCATTTGGAAAAGAACAAAGGTCTTGTCCTTGGTGGTGAAACAGAGTTATCATTGGCATCTGGAGTACTTAATACAGCATACGGCAATTATCCTACTGATAGTTGCTTGGCTAGATTAAAAATCTCCCTGCTTTGGGTCTCAGGTGTGCCAAACTGCTTCACTGAACCCAAGGTACAAAATTAGCTGTCACATGGATAGTTCTGCTCCATTATAGCAAAGTACCATATTCCAAAAGCAAATCATGCCAAATTAAGATTCACGTGTAATCTTGGTATCCCTGTAGATATCCTGCATTTGTGGGGGGTGTTCTCTGCTGGCACTGCAGTTCTGTCGTTGTGTGGTCAGTAGTCAGGCTACAGGAGGTCTTAGGGCCCCAAATGCAATAGTCTAGGTAGGGGTTTGGCAAACTGGTACCCTCCAGATGTTTTGCACTCCCATCACCTCCAGAAAACAGGGTCATGGCAAGGGACTGTGGGAGATCACGTTGGAAACATCTGGGGGGACACCATGCTACCTACCCCTGAAGTACTGAAGTGCTTCGACCTCCAGGTACCCTAATACACCCCCTACGACCTCGGGCAGGATTCGGTGACTCCTGAATGCCCGTATCCATCCTGGGCACAGAGCTATATCGTCTACCTGGGGCGCTCCAGCCCCCGATTCCTTCAGCGCCGCCTTCCTCATCTGCTAATAGAGCCCAACAAGGGGCTGCGGCGAAGGGGTCTTCTGCAAAGAGAAGCGCCCCTCCCCCATCTCGCGGCTCATCCAGATTCCGGGGTTCGGAGAGGCGTTGCCAAGCCGCCTTCGTGTGCCCCACGTGGTCCGGGCCCCATCAGCCAATGGGAGCTCGCACTTCTGAAAGATCTCCATATATGGCGATGTTCTCAGCCGGCGAGAGGGGGCTGGCTCCCCCTGGGTATAAAAGGGGCGGGGCTGGCGTTGGGACGGTCTCACTCAGCCGGCGGCAGCGGATCTAGCAGCATCGGCTCCTTTTTTTCCTTCTGAAAACTCCTGCTGCTTTACAGGTAGGTTCGCTATCTGGCTACCTTCACCGGGGCCTTGGGCATTTGTCTTGCATCCCCTCCACCTTCGCCGGGTAGGGGAACGCGCATTTTATTATTAACATTTTCTTGGATACCGTTCAGTTTCCGTAGTTGACGGCCGTTAAAGGCTTTTCGCGCCCTGGTTTCTTGAGGCGGGAGAGGGACAAACGTTCTTAGAGGGCTCGGCGCGAGCGACCGGCTCGTGGGTGTAACGGCTTCTTGAATGGGGTGAGCGGGAGGGGGCGGAGTTCTTTGCCTGGTAACAGCCGCTCCGATGTGGTTGGCTGGCTTAATTCGTTGACGTCATCGGGCGGGAAGTGAGGGAACCCTTTTTTATGAAGAATAACGAAGGAGA